TAAGGTCAATGAAAGTTCAGGCACGGGGAAATCGTGTCAAACGTTATACATAACAATCTATTTGTCTGACTAAAGTTGCATTCGTTTGTTTCTCTTATCTAATCCTTGAGGCTTTTTTCAGGACGAAATGTGGCGCTAAGGCAATTAACCGCCATGTCATCTCAGATCCATTTTAACGGTGCCAGGATCTACAGCAGTGACAAGGGGGTGGATGGCAACACTAAGACCTGCATGGCAACCCAAATCACTTACTACAACAGAGATCCCCAACCTACCTGGGCGGTTCAGCTATCGCAGCCCATGTTAGTCAACCGTTACGTCCTCTACAATACTGGTATGAAACATGCATATTTTATAATCTAGAATGTTCAGGAATGTTTTAGATCCACTGTTGTTTTCAAGTGAATTTACTCGCATTTATAATAATGAAATCATGTGAAACTTAAAATATAAATAATGTCGTTGTTATAAAATGCAACTTTGATATTGGTATTAAAAAAAATAATTCTTATTTTATTTAGGTGATGATAGACATCTCCGTGGCTTTGTTATAGAGAGTTTTAATGCCAAGGACGAACTCGTCTTCCAGTATCAGGATCAGGAGCTACAGCCTCAACACGTGTACACCATCTTGTCCCTGGGAGTCAAACAGCCAATCAAAACAGTGACAGTTCTAGCCATGGAGCCAACAGATCTGGAATGGGCAGTGAAGTGGCTCAATTTTTGTGAGTTGGAACTCTATGGAGGTGAGCATCGCGCATTTCATGGTCCTAGAGTGACCGTAGAAAACATAAATGTTACATAGAGAAATGACATCAGCGGGTCGTCCACGTTGCACTCTTTATGCCCTCCCCAAAATACCCCTCCCCAACCTGGTATCGGGCCGCGGAGCGGCAGGTCAGGGATGTCTCTTTGTAGGACAGCCCCCCCCCGAGTCTGCTCGACCAGGTCTCTGACGGGGGCTGTCCCAACCCAAAGACACCCGGTTGGTCCGACACTGTGTTTGCACACAGTGCACTCGATCGACTTTCTCAGGAGTCGAAATGGAAATTTTACGTCCTAATATCTTCCCCCACCCATCCCGGGGAAGTGTTAGACGCCCGATAAGAGGGATTCTACGGTGGGTTTGCACAACGCAGCTAATTCGCGAAGCAGCTGGGACAAAACGGTTGCCTTGGAGTAGCTTCTCAAGGCTGCGTAGTAAAAATCATCGGCCAGAGGTTACCACCTTCGCCTCTTGCCTCATATCCATTAACGACAACTTAGAAAACATAAATAAATCATTTGGATCGATCTCTCTCCCTTTCTCTGTCTTCCTACAGCCTTATTCTCTCTCTCTCTCTTTCTGTCATGCTCTATTTATCTCTCTATCTCTTTATTTCTTGCTGTAGTCCCCTTCTTTATCTCTAAACGTCTTTCTTTCTTTCTGTCTATTAATGTTCTCTCATTTTCATTTCTCTCTCCCTCTCGCTCTGTCTTTCTCTCTGTCTTTTTTATTTCTCTCTCTCTCCGGGCTTTCGCTTACGTTGTTTAATTTTCAATATATTTTTTGAAATTTGTTTAGAAATAAAAAAAATTATGTTAATAATAGATTAAGGAAATTCTTGGAAACACATGTACAATAAGTTTTCAAAGAAGAATGCACATCATTTTAATAAATGCGTCAGATCAAATTAATGTCGTCCGGAAAGTTTAACTACTCGGATATATGTCGTCGTCTCTTTTCCCAGTAGTTTACATCGTCACCATGAACATCTCCCCATCAGATGGACTCTTTCATGCTTCCTCACCATGAACATCTCCTCCCCTCATATTAAATTCTTCATGCTTCCTCACCATGAACATTGCCTCCTCTCAGATTAACTTCTTCATATTGCCTCACCATGAACATCTCCTCCCCTCAGATTAAATTATTCATACTTCCTCACCATGAACATTGCCTCCTCTCAGATTAACTTCTTCATATTGCCTCACCATGAACATCTCCTCCCCTCAGAATGGCTTCTTCATACTTCTTTGCCATGAAAACCTCCTCCCCTGAGGAAGGCCTTTTTATAATTCCTCATCATAAACATCACCTCCCTTCAGAATGGCTCCGTCTTGGTTTTCAATTTCATCTTCTTCTAATCCCGTACCCTGTTTTCCCCTCCAACCAAGTCTGTGCCCCTCCAACGAAGTCTGTTCCCCTCCAAACAAGTCTGTACCCCTCCAACCAAGTCTGTTCCCCTCGAACCAAGTCTGTTCCCCTCCAACCACGTCTGTTCCCCTCCAACCAAGTCTGTTCCCTCTAACCAAGTGTGTTCCCCTCCAACCAAGTCTGTTCCCCTCCAACCAAGTCTGTTCCCCTCCAGCCAAGTCTGTTTCCCTCCAACAAAGTCTGTTCCCCTGCAACCAAGTCTGTTCCCCTCCAGCCAAGTCTTTTAACCTCCAACCAAGTCTGATCCCCTCCAGCCAAGTCTGTTCCCCTCAAGCCAAGTCTGTTCCCCTCAAACCAAGTCTGTTCCCCTCCAGCCAAGTCTGTTCCCCTCCAGCCAAGTCTGTTCCCCTCCAACCAAGTCTGTTCCCCTCCAACCAAGTCTGTTCCCCTCCAACCAAGTCTGTTTCCCTCCAACCCAGTCTTTTCCCCTCCAACCAAGTCTGTTCCCCTCCAACCAAGTCTGTTCCCCTCCAGCCAAGTCTGTTTCCCTCCAACAAAGTCTGTTCCCCTGCAACCAAGTCTGTTCCCCTCCAGCCAAGTCTTTTAACCTCCAACCAAGTCTGATCCCCTCCAGCCAAGTCTGTTCCCCTCAAGCCAAGTCTGTTCCCCTCCAACCAAGTCTGTTCCCCTCCAGCCAAGTCTGTTCCCCTCCAACCAAGTCTGTTCCCCTCCAACCAAGTCTGTTCCCCTCCAACCAAGTCTGTTCCCCTCCAACCAAGTCTGTTCCCCTCCAGCCAAGTCTGTTCCTCTCCAGCCAAGTCTGTTCCCCTCCAACCAAGTCTGTTCCCCTCCAACCAAGTCTGTTCCCCTGCATTTCCACAAAATACTTTTGCCTGTTTTTGTTTTGTGTGTGTGGGGGGGAGAGAGGTGGAGATATGTTTAGAAAAGAAATGACAAATTTCTTATTGACCTTCCGTCCTTAACTGAATGCATAAATTTGGACTCTTAAAGAGCAATTGTTTATGTTTTATTATGTTTCGTCTTTTGTCCCCTCAGATTCCAGTTGTCAACCTGGTCAGTATGGGCGTGAGTGTGAAGGCTCCTGCAAGTGCTCCGTGCCAGGTGAAACCTGCATGACTAACACAGGCAAATGTCTGTCTGGCTGTGCTGCGGGCTTTTACGGCGACGGATGTACATCTGGTAATGTATCATAATGCGCTTAAAGTACAAACATTATAACACCTATATTCGGTAAACCATAAAATTAATATGAACTAGCACACAAGCATAGAGATGGAACTGTAGCCAAGCCTAGGAATTTCAATACGGGGTTGTTGACATTTCTTTTGAAGTTAAACCATTTCTAGAACAATAGTGAGGAAATGTTCAAATTTAAAGAAAACATCATTACAGAAATATTTTTTGAGCTTCAAAAGAAGTCTACGATGTGGGATCCATATCTGCCTGACCAGTGGCGTAGCGAGGGTGTTTGGCGCCCGGGGACAAGATCCATTTTAGCACCCCTTTTTCTTTTTTTGACTCTCAAACCCATTATTTTCATCAATAAAATAATATCAAAGCACATTTTGGCGCCCCTAACTAGCTGGCACCCGGGGACATCTGTCCGCCCCCTGCCCCCACCACGCTACGCCTCTGTGCCTGACCCACACCTCCGGTCCAACACACCTGTTATATGCACTGACATATGAAATGTCTATGGACTTTTCATATTTTAAAACTTTTTTCTTTGTGGCTTTTTGTGTGTTTAGTGCATTGGAGGGAAAAATATTACTTTTAAGGTCGTAGCTACTCACAGCTTATCAACTCTACCAATGTTAAGGACGTGTTTAGGATACGTTAAATTGTGACCTACCTTGTCATTCTCCAGGCTGCCCTGCCAAAAAGTATGGTGTTGACTGCCTTTTGAACTGCAGCGTCGACTGTTACAATCAGCTCTGCAACCCGGTTACTGGTGAATGTTACGACTGTGAACCACGGAGGACTGGCAAGTTTTGTGGCAATGGTCAGTTGACGGATGGTGAAATGATCACGTTGTATGCAGCGTGTTGTTGATTGTGTACACACCAATACTATCGCCACTAAACAATAATTAAACGTATCGATCTTTCTGATCTATAGATTAATCAATTTCATATAGCTTTTATTTTCATCAAAAGATTCAAAAGATTCAAAAGGACCGACAACTCTCCGTGTCCTTTATGGACCATGACGAGACGTTTCCCCCCTACTCGGCCCCCTCCTTCCTCTATTCCCCTGTGTGGATAGGGCATTCGTTTTTTTTTTCTGTTCCCACACTTGACAAAGTAAGACTTTCTCGTGCGGTGTTCTCCTGGTGAATGGTTGGCAAAACCTAGTCGACAGAGGCGGGGTTGACACTGTCACTCAAAATCTCGTGGCTGACCGCGTCTGCTTCTCGGTTGAGTGAACAAGTGGGTGGGTGAACTCGGATCTACTTCCCTTTTTTAACGATATAGTTCATGCCTAGTTAAAGAGTTCAGTCACTTCAAATGAAATTTTGTAAGCATTCAATGTTTAATAAAGTCGAAAATGAAAAAAACAAACTTTTTTTTTTAAAAGACGCGTTAAAGTCACTAATAGCAGGAATATAATTAAATATGTATTAAAATGCATTCTTTATTCAGGAATCCTCCGTCTGTGCAGAGACATGTAGATACCTTTGAAAAGAGTTTTCATTGAGCCTTTAGTATGTCAGTAGGCTTATATTTTTTTAAGCCAACAATTTAACCATTTGCTTTTTTTTTGTGTTCATGTGCATGCTCCTAGCTTATTTCTCGTGCTTTTATTATATCCATTGCTACTTTGACATCTTTTAGCTTTGCCTTTGTGTGATAAAGGCTGGTTCGGTCCACGCTGCCAGTACAAATGTCACTGTACCGATGACAACTGCGATGACATCTACGGCAATTGCACAAGTGGAGCTTCGTGCGATCCGGGATGGTTCGGAACAGCCTGTCAGTTCGGTGAGCTATGACTTGTTCGGAACAGCATGTCAGTATATTAAACAGCCTTGCACAGTGATTCCCAAACTTTCCAATTATCCACGCCCTTGATGAATCCATGGATTTCCAATGACGTATTTAAAAATATAACAAATAGATGACTTAAAGAATAATTATTAAAAAAATAAACAAATAAAAACTTAATTACTGCAGAACGCAATCTAGTAAAGAATTGAATCCGACTCTGCTGTTATTAAAGGGTGAGTTTTTGGTTTGCACCAGGTGCACTAGATCTCGCGTCCTATTAAAGCGAATTGAAAATGGAAATACAATTATGATTTTATATGAATATTTTGCGGGACCCCAAGTAGAATGCCACGGCTTCCCCATGGTCGAAACAACGCACAATTTTAGAGCTGCTGGCCTAGTTTAAAACCAATTAATTTAAGTTGCAGAATTTTCTACAAGTGCAAGATGAAAATGTTCACCGCAGAGCATCTATACCATTGTCTAGTAAAGGTTGAACAACTTTAGTTTGTATATTAGCTTTGTTATAACAACTTCATTTTTGTATATTAGCTTTGCAGCAACAATTTCAGTTGGTATCTTAGCTTTGTTACAACAATTTCAATTTCCACATTACTTTTCGTTGATCAGAGGATTTAGCTGCAAACATTACGATCACACTTCTGCCCATGTCCTTGACGACCTTCAACATCACGGATGGCGATGACGACACCTGTCTTCAAGTGCCCAACGTGACGTCATTAAGAGCCGCATTGCCAACAAACCTCCCTTTCACGTGGCTCAGGCTTCACTTCAACACTTCCGGTAAAGTTGTTGTAATTAGTGATGTAACTATTCAGGTCAACTCAAACGATAGCACTGAAATATATTTCTTGCAATCACTAAGGCAAAATTCAATAGATTTTCAAAAAACATGAAGAAAAAACAAGCTCTTAAATTGTACTTTTTTTTTCTCTAGTATATTATTACTTATTATGATACCACGTTGAACAAAATACTGAACACATTATAGCCTCCTGTCCGACACAGAATAGAGAGTTTTCTTTGATATATCTTTAATTCTGTTCACTTTGTAGCAATGACATACTTCTTTTATGTACTTTGAAGTGACCACTGACACTGACATTGGGCTGACCTTCAGAGACTCAAGCAAAAGAAGCCGCTCGTGTGACAACAAAGTTCCTGTTGTCATTGGCAACCACACTCTCGATATCCACTGTGACATGAATGTGACAGTTGATCAAGTGACGTTAACTGGGGACTCTGTCCAATTTCTCTGTTCCCTCTACATTAGTGGAGGTGNGAGGCCGTGGCCAAAAAATTGTCCGCCCGAAGAAGGATTTGTTTGGGGTTGGGGGGGGGGGGGGGGGGGGAGGGGGTTGGGGGGGTGAGGGGCCGCGCCCCCCCCCCCCCAAAAAAAATAAAGAGTGCCCCCCCCCAGCCCGAGAAAATGAGTTCAATAGTAACGTAAAAAGCTAAAGGGCCTATTTTAAATAAATCTAAATGTTTATTTCATAACTTGCATGTAAAGAAAGAGTACTAAATGGTATGCCTAACTGTCACCTATGAACATTTTTGAAATACTGCTACCCAATATCGAGGTGGTCGATACATTAGATGAGCAGAATGTGTAAGGCGAATCTAGATATAGTATTCGATTTAAAATATTTGTAATCTTTTTGATCCAACCTGCCGTCCCGACCATATAAATTGCTATAATTCTAATTTTTAAACAAATAATTATTGCTAAAAATAAGTGTCCAAGTGCTGAAAATTAATATGTACAATGTAGTTAAATATATTTACATTTATTAGTTTCACTAAACTAAATGAATATCTTAATTATCCAAAATTTGTTGAAAATTCCCAACTCTTAATAAAAATGCCATATTGTTTTTTTTTAAATTGTTGACTATAAATATGATCTTTCTGTAAAAAATAACAGCATTGTTTTAAATCTATTTGATTCCATGTCTTGTGAGGAGCTAGAGAATAATGAAAAAAAAATCACCATTAAAGTGCCTATGTGCTCATCATTAATGTACTTCTTCTTCTTCTTTATTTTGAGGGCCCACGATCAATGAATTGATCATTCTGGCTCCTATGTTTCAGAGGGGTTTACGATGTTACTGTCCATGGGTTTCAATGGGAAACTTCGCTGGTTGCAAGGGCGACTCAGCATTGGTGTTATGAACTGGGAGTTGCAATACAGGAGGCAGTAGACACAAATGTGTCGAGTGTAGGCGCCTCAACTGTTGCTTTTGGAAGCTTGTTCCAGTCCCCTATTGTCTTCGGAAGGAATGAGGAGCTCCTGTACTTCGTTCTTGTTTTTACCAGCCGGAACTGTCTGTCGTGGCCTCGTCGCTGTCTAGGGGGAAGATGAACGAGTTTCTGTTTGATTCCGGAGCAGTGGACCTGCCCATTTTTGATCTTGTACAACATGATGAACCTGGACAGTCGTTGTTCTTCCAATGGTGACCAGCCCAGTGTTTTTAGCATGCTGTCAACACTTGAGGTGTTTCTGAAGCGGTTCATGACAAAGCGTGCTGCCCGTCGCTGTACCGCCTCCAACCTGTCGATGCTTTTCTGTGTAAATGGGTCCCGGACTGTGGAAGCGTACTCTAAAATGGGCCTGACAAAGACTTTATAGGCTTTTTCTTTTACGCTTGAGTTGCCGATCTTCAGATTGCGCCTTAGTAACCCCAGAGTCTTGTTTGCCCGGTTGCACACACTGTTAATGTGCTCGTCCCAGCGGACCTCTCTTTGAATGGTAACACCCAAGTACTTTACGGAGGAAACTGGCTCAAAAATATGGCCATGCAGTTCGTAAGAGTGGTTTAGAGTGGATCTGCTTCTGGAGACTGACAGGGTCTGGCACTTGACAGGATGAAATTCCATGTCCCAGCTCATCTCCCACTCAGCTAACTGATTGAGGTCTTGTTGAAGCTGGCTCTGGTTAGAGCTGTTGACGATTGTCCTATATACCGCCGTGTCGTCTGCAAAAAGTCTTACTTGAGAGGTCAGTTCCTCGGGCAGATCATTGATATATGCTAGGAACAAACAAGAGCCTAGCACTGAGCCCTGGGGGACCCCTGACTTAACACCGACAAAGGAGGAGGTTTTGCGATCTACCACTACTGCCTGGCATCGGACGCTGAAGAAGCTAGAGATCCATGTTTTGGTAGTGCCTTGAAACCCATATCTCTGCAGCTTGTGTAATAGCAAGCTATGGTTGACACGGTCAAACGCTTTTGAAAAGTCCATCACAAGCACATCACTTTGCTTGCTGTTCTCAAAGTGGATCATCAATTCTTCAGCAAATTCAAGGAGTTAGGTCTCGCATGATCTGTTTTTTCGAAAGCCATGCTGACTGTCATTGAGTATATTGTGTCTTTCCAGGTGATTCATGACCGCGCTTACGATTATGTGCTCCAATTGTTTACATACTACGCTAGTGAGGGATACAGGGCGGTAATTGGCTGGGTCGTAATGCTCTCCCTTTTTGTAGATTGGAGTGACATACGCTGTTCTCCAGTCACTTATATTCACATCAATAATATACTAAGTAAACATCATTACTTTACATATGTACACATCATTATTGTACAACGTGCATATCTTTAATGTGCCTATGTGCACGTCATTAAGGTACTTATGTGCAAATCATTATTGTACCTATGTGCATATAATTAAAGCACTCATCATTATTGTACATATGTGCACATCATTAATGCACTCATCTTTTAATGCCCTATCATAAATGCACCATAATACATTTGCCGATATACCCAGGTCGCAATGTGGCCCTCCGACAGCAAACAATCCAGTCCACCGACAGCGGTCCGACATATTTTGACTACTCTTCAAGGAAAGCTGTGGACGGTGCCATGGACCTGAACATTGACAGTAAAAACTGCACCCGTGGTAAAAACTGGTGGACAATCAACTTCCAGTCTCCACAGGTCATCAACAGAGTTGTTATCTACACAAATAACTGTGAGTGTGACGAAACTTTCTATCAGAGCATTCATTTTGGGGAAAGTTAACATTTAGATCAACTTAAACTATAAGGGAATTCAAAATACATTTCAATAAATTATACAGTAACTCCTTTCAAGAATATACAGCTAACATCTTTATCAACTTTTGTTCTAAACGAGTGTTTCCCAAGGTTGGGTGCCATCAAGAGACAATTTCAAGACAATGAGGGGGTCACGGTGTGGGACTTTGTTTGGGGGTTGGGGTGGCAATGCTAGAAAAAACAGGCAGGCATTAAATTTTTTTGAGTGCCTACGCGGGGAGTGAAGCAAAATATTTTGGGAACCGCTGATCTAAAATAACCACACAAAAAAACCCAACCCCGTTCAATGGAAATCTTTCTGTAATATTTAAGCTCTCTGATAAAAGAGACGTATAGAGGGCTGTCATTGACAATGTTCAGCTAGAAAGTTGTCGGAGAAAAGAGACTCAAAGTTATCTCTGAGAAAATATAAAGCTTGTCATTTTAAATGGAACACAATCTATTGGCGCTATTTTAAATAGCGGTTTCTAAAATATGTTTAAGTATGCTTTGCCTCACCCTGTCTACACGTTGTTACACTTATACCATTAAAAAAAAATGTAAGCAATAATTACGATGCTGCAATAATTAATTACAAAGCAAGTGCTTGAAGCACGAAGTGATACGGTTCAAGAGTAAAGTAAAAGACATTGTTGTCGAGGTGAACTTGGCGTACGATTAACTACGCCGAAAGAAAGACATTTCAAACTCTACCCATTTTAAGACAGTCCTTCTCTAAAGCCTTTTCTCGGCAATATCAAAGCCATCTGCCTGATATAATTTGTTTTTTGTCCTGTTATCTTATTTCAAGATTCCACATACCTCGTTTCGCTATTTCATTCATATACTAAGCTTGAAAGCAGTCCTTTCATTTATAATTTGATTACTGTCTTCAATATTCAAGTCATTTCGTCTGAAGCATATTCGGTTCTGATCAGCCTCTGGCTCTATGTAATACCAAATGTACTCTTATAACTGTATTCTAATAACTCTACTCTTATTAACTGTACTCTTATAAATTTAGATTGAATTCTCGAAAAAATGTTTAAATAATTGAATTTTTCAATTATTTATTCAACGTGCCACAAAAGAAAAACAAATATCTCATCTTTTCAGCGGCTCCGGAGCGTCAATTATCATTTTCTTTACATTAAAAAAAACAAAAACATTTTATAACAACTGTAAAATACAAGTTTCATTAAACTAAGTGGGCTATTTACTTTTTTCTGATTAGATTTCCCAATTTCAATGAAACCCAATTACTTATTTTATATGTTTTCACTTCGCAATTACAAAGGAATAATGAAAAAAATTAATCTTGACAGAACAAACCATCTTGACACGACAAACAATCTTGACCGAACAAACATTCTTGACAGAACAAACCATCTTGACACGACAAACAATCTTGACAGAACAAACAATCTTGACACGACAAACAATCTTAACACGACAAAAATCTTGACAGAACAAACCATCTTGACACGACAAACCATCTTGACCAATCAAACCATCTTGACACAACAAACCATCTTGACATAACAAGCCATCTTGCCACAATAAACCATCTTGACCAATCAAACCATCTTGACACGACAAATCATCTTGACCAATCAAAACATCTTGACCAATCAAAACAACTTGACCAATCAAACCATCGTGACACACAAAAAAAACGAGAGACATGAAAACGACTCGATGAGATGTATTTTTTTACACCATAATTTTATTGTAATACAGGCCTTCTCTCCCCTTTTCAACGCTCTACCACCATGCCAGCACTCGTCAAATTATTTCAAGTTCGGCTCATTTCAAATCCCTTGTTTGATCATACTTTTCAGATACGAGATACGACGCGTTTGTTAACACAAATTTCGATGAAATGCTGGGCAACTTCTCAGTGGAGACCTATGCTGGGGACGGCTCACTGGTTGATACATACACCAGAGAAAATGAACATAACCCAAAGAAGACATACACGGTTTTCTTCTTCAGTCAGACGCCAGTGGTCACGTTGAAAATTCACGGAGGCACAGACTATTGGCGAGCGCTGCTGTTGTGTGAGGTGGAGATTTACGGAGGTGAGTTTGAAAAATTTAAGATTGCGAATAAACTGTAAATGCAGATTATTTTAGTGATTCTGATACTGTGCATACTGATACTATCATATGATAAGCGATAACGTCATTGATATTACCTTGCAAGTAAAAGTTATCCATAAAATCTACTTTGATAGTGGCA